AATTCAATTCCATTGGTCTACCTGTCTGTTTTTATGCCAATACCAAGCTGTTTTCAGGACTATCACTCTGTAATAGAGCTTGAAGTCAGGTATGGTGATGCCACCTGAAGTTCCTTTATTGTATAGGGTTGTTTTTGGCTATCCTGGGTCTTTTGTTTTTCCAGATAAAGTTGATTATTGTTCTTTCAAGGTCTGTGAAGTATTGTGCCAGAATTTTGGTAGGGATTGCAGTGAATCTGTAGATTGATTTTGTCAAGATTGCCATTTTTACTATGTTAGTCCTACCAATACAGGAGCATGGGAGATCTTTCCAATCCTCTTTGATTTCTTTCTTTAGAGACTCAAAGTTCTTGATATACAGGTCTTTCACTTCTTTGGTTAATGTTATCTCCAGATATTTGATGCTGCTTATTGCTATTGTAAAGGGTGATTTTTCTCTGATTTCTTTCTCAGCCACTTTATTATCTGTATATAATAGGGCCATTGGTTTTTGATTTAGGCAAGTGTGGTATTCTCCATGTGATGGTTTTATTTTTTTAATAAAGTGGGTATTACTGTCAGAACAGAACAGTTTGAGAAGAAAGCTTTGAACTTACTCAGTCAGATGACGCACAGACACATGCTACAACCCAGAAGGAGAAAGCCAGAGAAAAGATTGTTATGCTCGCCTGGGTTGACTTTAAAAGATGGGTGACTGTCTTAATTTGCTTTCTATTCTATGATAAAGATTGTGGCCAAGAGAAATTTTGGGAGGAAAGGACTTTTCTATGACATAGTGCATCACCTAAGGAAATCAGGGCAGCAGGGCACACAGGAACCTGAAGCCAGGGACTGAACCAGAGACCATGGAGGCATGCTACTTATCGGCTTGCTCTCCACTCCTTCTTTAGCCTTTTTGTTTGTTTTTTGTTTTTTTGTCACCAGGGACCAATTTTCCAGACTGGTTCCACTGAGCCATTCTCTGTCAATTAGCAACCAAAAAAATTGCCTTATAGACAGGATGGAACCTCAAGAGAGGCTCCTCTCTCCATTTGATTCTAGCTTATATTAAGTTGTTGAAACTCTAACCACGGCAGGGAGGGGGAAACCCAGAGGAATGAGCGTGTTCAGAGCATCAGCATGGGCTGTCAAATAAAGGTTCAACAGCTGAAAGCAGATATATGGGCGGATGGGAAGAAAGGACAGCCAGCAGACTGGAAGAAGACTTAGGGGCTCATTGACTAGGAGGCCCCAAGAGATTCAGACGATGGCTGTCACAAAGGTGATTAAAATAGCAAGTTAAGAGACAAACATGCCAGAGTGGAACATAGAAAATAGGGAGGAGAAGGGCCTCAGTGGAAATAAACTGACTCAAGGAAGTACTCCCTTTAGGAAGAGTCTGTTGTTATATGCTGTGAAAGCAAGCTTGACAGCTTTTTATATGAGTGCTGCTCTTCAGATACAAGAAGCAAGTTTTCCCCAATGAGATTAGAAAAAGATCAGGATGAATTGCTTTATAATATACACGTGCAGATCTGACGAGATGCCTAGTTCCCTGAGCTCATCCCATAGTTGCAAGGGTGAGGAGGTTGAGTTCTGGAAGACTGGAAGATGAATACCCCCTGGGAGAGCACTCACAGAGCCTCCTGAAATGAAGCATAGGGATAGTTTTAGCGATTAACCCACTGTTGTTGTGATGGCCATTCTTGGTTATCAACTTGATTGCATCTGGAATTAACTAAAACCCAAGGGACTGGGTGCACCTGTGGGGAATTTTTCTTAAATCATGTGAAATGGGAAGACCCAGCTTTCATCTGGATCTTTTGAGGTGGGACAATTCACCTTCAATCAGGGCAACACCTTCTGCTGGCAGCTCATAGAAAGAACATGGAAGAAGGAAGCTTTTGCTCTCTGCCTGCCTGCCCCCATTCTCACTGCCAACTTCATTTTTTCACTGGTAGTAGAGCCTACTTCTTTGGGATTTTGGCATATACTGAAGACCAGCCTTGTGGACTGAACAACTACTGGACTGGATTATTGCACCTTCTGTTGGTAAACAACCAGTGTGGGACTAGCTGGACCACGACCTATAAGCCAGTGGTTCTCAATCTGTGGATCACCACCCTTAGGGGGTCAAATGACCCTTTCATAGGGGTCGCCTAAGACCATCGGAAAACACAAAGATTTACATTTCGATTCATAATGGCTTCAAAATTATGATTATAAAGTATCAAGAAAAATAATTTTATGGGGTCATCACTACACGAGGAGCTGTATTAAAGGGTCACAGTATTAGGAAGGTTGAGAACCATCGCTGTAAGTCACTTTAATAAATCTCATGTATGTTCTGTCCCTCTAGAGAGCCCTGACTAATAACAGGTCTATATATGGTGTTCAGAGGAGCATCAGAGACCTTTGACACAGTATTTCCAGTCACAGTCTTTAGGAGCCAAGAGAGAAGCTGGAAAACCATGTGACCGAGAAGACAGTACTAAAATACTGAGTTGTTTTAAGTAATTCTCACTCTCTTCCTTGGCAGTGGTGGGGAGGTGGGGAGATGGGGGGGTGGGGGAGTGGGATGATGGGGGTTGGGAGCGTATGGGATGGGGTGGGAGTGGGGTGGGCAGAAACGACCCAAAAAACAAAGGCATCAGTTACCTAGCCATTGGTGAAAATATTGAGACTAACCAGGAGTGCAGTTTTCAGAGGCTAGCCACTCATGGCTGGGCTCTTCCATGGGCTTCTAGAACTCCCCACCTCTGATTCTTTCCTTGTGAATACTAGGTGAGATGTGCTTCGCTACAGCATTCTGGACAGTAAGGAACCACTGAGGATAACCTGAGACAGTTATGCCTAAAATAGTCCCATGAAGACCTTGATGAATACATGGCCTCTGTTGTTGTAGGGGGCATCTGAGATGTTCATGATCCTTCACTCCCTGGATGTGTTTTCACCTCTAATGGACTTTTCCAAGGTTACTTTTCTTAGAACTATGCTGGTTGAAGTGCATCCTCCTTCTGGTCCTTCCCCATGCCATCCTTGAATTCCCATGCAGTTATTTCCTCTGTAAAGTTCAAGTTCTGGAGAGACCATTGGTTTGAAACCATCATTAGACTTATTGCAGGCATTGGATACCTAATTGAATAAATTGATTCTGTCACTATCTCTGTTGGCCTGCAGTCCTGTCAGATCAATGTTATCTACAAGCTTGAAAGGTTTCCTTGTGCCCAAAGACAGAGCTGTGATTATAGTAATGTCATTGACCTCCTATTTTATTATGCCATTACTCTATCTTCCTGAGAATCAACTGTAGACTGATTACATGAACTCACCTTGCCTGGTGGTTTCTCTGTGTAGCTCTGGCTGTCCTGGAAATCACTCTGTAGACCAGGCTGACCTTGAACTCACTGAGATCTGCCTGTCTCTGCCTCCCGAGTGCTGGGATCGAAGGTGTGCCATGGAGAATTCTTAAGGTTACTGAAGACATCATTGCATTGCGTGTAAATGCTGCTTGCTGTGTGCCTCAGTGGCCAAGGATCCATTTTAACAGTGGGGAACAAAGCAGAAGTGGAGTATCATGCCTGCCTCAGAGGGAAACTGTCAAATTTGCCAATCATTTCCTTTGCATGTTGTGGTAATGACCATGGCCTATCCATCCAGGAAGTTCTAACAACACTACAGGACCATTCTGTTAGAGCAATCCTGATACTAAAAGGCTTTAAGCAGGGCTGTTCTTTTATTGAAAGCTACATGCTTATTACAGAGGAAGAGTACTGGCCATCTGTCCCAGGGGTTCAGGAGAAGTGGTTGGTATTGGGGTTGTTAGAATAGTAGAGTTTCTTCAAACATACAGAAACCAGGAGAGGGTTAGTTTGGAAGCAGGGAAAGAGAGGTGAATTAATTTTGGGCTTGGGCTTCTTAGCATCTGGAACAGAACCTGTTCAACGTATCAAGAAAGGAAGCTCCTGACTGGAGAGTGGTCATCCAAAGTATGACACAGAGATTAACAGGCAAGTGCCAACATTGTCAGAAGACCAAGGCGGGAGTTCGAGAACCAGGATCTGTGCTTGCTCTGGAGACTAGGGCAGCAGCCTTTTTGAACTTTAAGCACATTTAGTAATGTCTCAGGCGTCTGCTGAGAAAGCCCCTGCCTTCAGCCATTTGTAATAAACAAATTCCCAGACAAGAGCTTGACCTTTGCACAATGTAAAGTATTTGCTGACAAGAACTTCTGAGCAGTCGTGGTGGTCTGTCTTACTCTCTTATGGATAGTCTGTGGGGGAATTGGCATCAACAGAGGGTGTCCACTTTGGACTTGTTAGTAGATGTGTGGTCGGTAATATGTAACATTGTGGAGTTGTTAACCACCTCAAAACCCATTTTATCCAGATGTGAATGTGTGCAGACTTGGGTTGGGACAGAGGCAAATAAGAATGAAGTGTAGTTAGTTCATTCCTACTCACCAGTATTTTATCACTGTCAGACGGTCCTGACTTTGTTTACATCTGGCTCAGGGGAAGTTCTTGCCACGGTAATTCGTGGCGTTTGGAATACTGCCAAACTGATAAATGCTTAAACAAAACAATATATGCTGAAATACCTTTAAAAGTCGGTCTAATGAAAAAAAAATTCAGAGTAAATAATAAAAGGAAGGAAGAAGAAAAGTTGGTGGAGTGGGAGGAGGGAGGTGGAGAAGGGTAGGAGGAAGCAGAGGGAGAGTTGGGGGAAAGGAGAGGGGAAAGAGGAAGAGTGGGAAAAGGAAGGGGAAGAGCGGTAGGAGGAAGGGGCGGGGGGGGACTGGGTAGGGGAGGAGGGAGAAGAGGAGGACTCGTCTGTGTACGCGGTTATTCACTTGTTCATTTCTGTTTGTCCAGTGCCTTATTTCATGTCCTCAAGTACAGTGTCAAACGTCTTAGGAATAGCACTTCCCTGAAAGGACAGCTGTAACGCAGAATTTCACACCAGGCCCCGAGCTGCTGTGGGATATTAACACTGTGTTTCATTTCTCCCTCCCGCATCAGGTCTCCAGAGCCGACAGTAGTGCGGGTGAGGGCTGCCCTCAGAAGCTGGCGACGGCCAGTCTGCTACGCTTCTTCCTGCTCGTGCTCATCCCCTGCATCTGCGCCCTCATCGTGCTGCTGGCCATTCTGCTCTCCTTTGTGGGTGAGTGATGCTGTCATTCAAAAGGAAGGAGGTCGAAATTACAACGAGTGGGTTTTAGGCCGTGGTTTATACTGACCTCACACTTTACTGAAAGTGTCAAGCTAGTGAGAGGATGGGCTCTGGTTTCCCTTGGGAAAACTTGGAGTTTCAGCCATGTAACCTTGTGACCCGCTATTGCTATCTCTGCCAATGATGGTTATACTGGAACCAGTTACTAGATGTAAATACCGTGAAAACTGAGGGACAGCTAGACTTGTCATTTTCCACAAGTGCTCACAGCCAAGAGGAGAGACTATCACACAGGACACACATGCTGACGGCAGAGGGATGTGCAAGGTACTCGGACACTGTACACCGCATGGGAGTTAACATCAGAACCGTTACAGTGAGGTGAACAGAAATCCAGGTTGAGGGCAGGAGCAAGTGCAGGAGCCAAGTAACTCCATGACGTGCAGAGGTAGACGTCAGAAACTGGGTAAAAACTGACAGCATTGGAATACGCAGCTAGGCGGATGCAGTCTGCATGCCCGCAGATTGCCTCTGTCACAGGGAGGGATCAGGACTTCAGTGTGTCGGTCATTGGTTTTCAAAGCTTGACGAGGAAGATCAAGGGTTACACTACGTTAGTTTTGTCTCTGACTTTGAAAATCGAGACCTTCAATGCACACTCTAAATGTCACATCAGCAGTCATATGTGCTAAGGACTCGTTCATTCGTCCATCTCAGCTTAACGAACAACAGCCCAAGTTAGAAAGGAAGTCTCTTGGGAAACACCAACAACCTGTTTGCATTGCTGCCCACCAATGCTTGGAATCAGGCTCCTTTAAATGCATATAATCGAATGAAACAGTATACAAATAACAAGATAGTGATGATCAAACTCCATCACTAAAGATTTAAACATTGTAATTTCATCAAAGCATCCCATTATTTTCTCATAAATTGGCTTAGGAAAGCCAGACATTTAGAATTGACAAGGTAAGTCAATTCTAGTATATATAAAATGTGTATTTGTTTGTGTATGTTAAGAAAATATATGATTTTTATTATAAAGTAATACTGCAATATCTTGATATCCATTGAGGACTTAGTTTAAAGGCCATTCTAAGATATCAAAACCCATAGGAGTATTTGTATACAGACAAGGTATATTCTCTGGTTACTTAAAATCAACTTTAGGTCTTTCATAATATCTAGTAAAATATGAATGTGATGTTAGTAGTTGTTCTACTGCTTAGGGAATTATGAGAAGAAAATAAAATCTATAGATGTTCAGGGCAGACACAATTTCTTTTTGCCCTAACTGCTGTCCATTTGTAGTTAGCTGAATCTGTGGATACAGAGGAAGGATTGCTTGTTTACTGTGAGAATGTTTGACACTCATTGTGATGGGCAGTGGATTATAGTTGGAGTATCCTTGTATGGAAACAGAAATCTGACCATGTTTATATTTGCAAACGATAGCAGATCTAGACACTGGACTTGTCAGGAAGAAGTAAAGGAAGGGAGACTAGCTTAGGGTTCTGGCTTTGACCGAAACAAAGGTTAACTCAAGTTTGAAATATAGTCTTAGTTGGGTACATTAAAAAAAGCAGAGATCAAGATGGATTGGATTTGAGGGTAAGAGAGGACAAGAAATCAAGGCTGATTCGTAGGTTTCTAGCTTGGTTAGCCATGTTATTTGGGGACATGTGCTCAGAGGAGTGGTTGATGCAAGCAGGTGGAGGACTCACTGGGAGATCATTTTGTACATTAGAGGTGCCAGGAGACAACTGAGTTCAGTGGAATCACAGCGCCCATGCCAATGTCTTCTGTAAATCCAGGTATGGTCAAGAAATCAAGAAATATAAGAATCCCAACATGGTGTCTTCTTGGGGACATTTAAAGAGAAATTAAAGCTATATGTGATACTTTTTTCATGGTTGTCTTTTGAATTTGCCTCCACCCATTGTCCCAGGTCTGAAGCTGAGGCATCATTGGGGATGCTGAGGGGGAGCCCAGCTGCCCTGATGGATGAGGGAGTATGAGGCATAACTGAAGAATCAGACATTTGTGAAATAGGAAGAGAAAACATACTTAGTTAAAATCTGAGGACAAGGTTCAGATAAAGAAAACTGGGCATGAAGAGATAGAGGAAGGATGGCCAGTGAAGAAAGGAAGAGATCTGGTAACTGTGAGTTTCTCAGATGTTGGGGAAACTGAGAGACAAGTACTGGCTAGGGAGTGGCCAAGCAGGAGGACGGAAGAAGGGCCTAGTCCAGGAGGGTAGAAGATTGACTCATGGAGTCATCAGTGGCCATTTCTTCTGTGGCCAGCTGCAGGCTAAGGCCAGTCAATAGCTCTTAGCCTCATTACTGCCACATCCTTCCAAGATCAACTCCCAACAGACTTTGCCAGAGCCCCTGTGTGGCTGTTGTGTTTGCATTTTGTCCAGATTGGTAGTTTTCATCTCTGGGCACATCTGTGATCTCCTAGGCACTATCACTGTTAGGACTCTTTCTCATCATACCATGAATGACTCACATCACCAAAGAATATGTCCTTGCATTCTCGGGGGTCCCATGCTCACAGAAATTTAAGCACATTTGAGAGCCTCCATGCTTGGTAACTGCAGGAGTTCGTGCTACTGAAGCAGGGCTGGTTACTTTTGTTTCATCTTTATTAGTTCTTTGAGAATGTTATACAATATATTTTAATCACATTCACTCTTCCCCCAACTCCTCTTAGATCCACTCCTCTTTCCCTACCCATACAAATTTATCTCCTCTGTCTCTGTCTCTCTATCTCTCTTTCTCTGTCTCTTTCAAATACCCATCAAGTCCAGTTTGTGTTGTCCATTGTGCATGTATTCTTAGATCTGTAGCTTTCCACTGAATCTTGGTTGACTTACCAGGGGCTTACAATCTTAAAGAAAAATGACTGTCTCTCTCACAGCAGTTATCATTTGCTAATAGTTTCTTAGCTAGGGCTGGGACTTCATGCCCACCTCCTCTTCCTATGTTGGGATTTGGTCTGACTTGAAATTGCCTAGGTCTTTGTATACCATCACAACTGTTGTGCATTCATATATGCAGTTGCTCTGTTGACTTATAGTCACCATTTTGGGCTCTTGTGATCTTTCTTCTCATTATTCAACAATGATCCTTGAGAATGTGAATAAATGCACCATCATTTTTGGTGGTTGAATAATATTTTGTTGTATGAATATTACAATGTTTGTGCATTGACTAATAGATGAACGTTTGAATTACTTTCATCTTTTGGCCTTTAATTTACCTGACATCCTGTTGTGAATATTCATGTGTAAGTTTTTGTGGGTATAAACATTTTCATTTCTCTTATGCATATACCAGACGGATTTTATATGCTTATGTGTGACATTGTGGAAGCTATTAATTTGTATCCAGCCCTGAATCATATCTTGCTTGTGCACTGGAAACTTCTACAAAGTAGGAGTCTTCTTACACATCTTCAAAAGTGTTTTTCTATGTTCTGCACAGGATGAAGCAATATCTTCCCCTATAAACATTTCATATTTTGTAGCTGAGATGTATGTTGTTGTAATATCCATCAAAGCCACTTTATACCTTTGCTACTAAACTCTCATTAAGTCCTGCTTACTTTAGAGAGGTTCTAATTGTCGGGGAGATAATTCCATGCTTTTCCAACTCTTGGCTGTTGCTCATGTGTCCACGAGGACTGCTCAGGGATCCTGGGATATAGGGTGTGCTATCTGTTTCCAATCTTTCTCATTCTGACTCATTTGGTACAAGCATGGTAAAAAGACTTCTGAGGGGAGAGTTGTCCTTTGTAGGCAATGTATTTGAGCAGTGGCATTCAGAGTCTCACACAACAATTAACAGGAGCTGAGGAGGTGAGTGTTAAAGGTTTGCATCTCTAAGCTTATCAGAAGCTTGAATTGTCCATGTGGTCCCCAAGGTGTAGATACAAAATAAAGATTTGGGATTTGGGATTTTGGAAGAAATGTAAAAAGTTCGTGATAGCTGGGATTTTATTTCCTTGGTGACTGTGCAGTCTTGTTGAGCAATATGACACAGAAGGAAGGATTTGCCTTTGAGAGATGAAATCACTTATTTATGAAAACTAAAGGCAGAGCTGGAGATACTCAGCAGTTAAGAACACATGATGCCCTTGCCCGGGACTTGAGTTTGGTTCCCAGCGCCCATACCAGGCAGCTCATAACACGAGTAACTCTAGCTCCAGAGAGTTGGACATGCTCTTCAGGCCTCTTGATCATGGGTCACATAACTGCCATGTATCTCCATATTTCCTACAGTTTTTGTTGCAAGCCTAGCCTTTAACATCTAAGCCATCTCTCCAGTCCACATCTCCATATTTCATACAGGCTCTGCAAGGATACTCTGTGCTGTTCAGCCCAGTCTGTTAGAGCTCATACTTTCTTTTTTTTTTATGAATTGACTACTTGAAAAATCCTTTTCTTTTTTCTTTTTTTTATATATTTATTTTTTTATTAATATTTTTTTTATTTTCCATTTTAAATTTAGATAAGAAACAAGGTTGCTTCACAAGTCAGTACGAGGTCCCTCTCCCTTTCCCTCCCCTCCTCCCGTGCCCTCCCTCCATCCCCCCCCCCCGTTATCCCCTCATTCCCCCAGGGAGGGTGAGGCCCTCCATGGGGGTGTCCATAGTCTGTCATTTCATATAGGGCAGGGCCTAGACCCTTCCCCAAGAGTTCAGGGTGAGAGTGCACCTCACATTGTTCTATGGGAGTCCAGAGACCGTGTGTATACTTGGGATGGGTACTGATCTGCTGTCGAGCTCATACTTTCACCTGGCACTGTTCAACATTCAATGCTGATTTCTGTTGTTGTTGTCTTCATTGAAGAAGAGTCTGTTCTTTGTTCATCTTTAGAACTTGGGCTGTTTTGTTGTTGTTGAGTTGCATGAGTTCCTTATATATTTTGGACACTGACCCTCTGTCAGATACAGTTTCCATCATCTTTCTGTTTTTCTTGTTG